TATATATATATATATATAACGTAAATGAGGAGATTTCTAGTGTAGAAGTCAATAGGAATAACAAACGATCTCAAAGTAATCGAAGATATCTATGGACGCCTACTGGCAGAAAAGATCGTAAATCGCTTAAATTCGCGAAATTTGTGAGATATCGAGAGAATAAACGAAGCATTCATTAACATTCACGAAGAGACAATTCCATGAGGCAGTATGTCTATCTCGGACTTACGTAGTTGGCCGATCGTCAGTGCATTGAACCCGGAGTTCATTCCGGAAATTTACATGGTTTTGGTATTCGGTAATTATCTCACTTCTCTTCCCTACTAAAAAAAATCATGTCACAATGTTACATAACGAAATCATGTAATTAAAATAGGTAAAATCACATAACGGATTGTTCGAAATCAGTAGGTACGTAATTGACCTATTTTTTAAATTACGTAATTTGAAAAGTCACACGATAACATATGTTTCTTCTTCTATTTCTATCCCATCATTCAATTATTTAAAATTTGGTAACTGTGAAACTATAATATGATGGATGAAATTATTTTTAATGATTATTCAAATCAATGATTTTAAAGCATCAAGTACATATTTGAAATAATCGGTTATGTGGATTTATGTATTTTATATGATTCCGTTTTGTAACACATGATTTTTTTCAGTAGGGTTAATGTGTACTTGCTTTGGCAGTTTTGTTTACTTTATGTCTCGAAATAGGAAAATTGGGTCATGAAGCCTTAATCGTAACGAAAGACAAAATGATGTATGCCCTGGGTAATAACAAAAACGGTTGTTTGGGAACCGGTAACACACGTTGTTATAAAACTGTAAAAAAGATCGATATCCTATGCATGAAAGATATAAAGACCTTTGCATATGGCTTTGGACCCCACGTTCTAGCTCTTATGAAAGATGGAAAGGTATGTTAGAAATTTCCAAATAAATATTTAATTGTGGTTTTTGTGTGTAACACTGGAGAGAAACTTGAAAGTGAACACATCCCTTTTTTATGTACCAAACCTCGTAGGGTAATGTCCATGTTTTTGTGGTTCTTTTTCATGCTATTACATGGGTTAGACAAGGATAAACCATCAAAATTGTTTGTCTTTATCTAACCCATGTAATCGCATGAAAGAGAACAAAAACATAGATATTATATCTTACGAGACTTGGTTTGAAAGTGAAAAGGGCTGGAATGATCACTCTCAGGTTTCTCTGTGGTACAATATACAGGATTGGGCAAATTTTTTTTGGAAAACAGCCGTTTCGGTTTCCATTGTGAAAAACAATCAATCTCTATTCATTCGATAGTGTAATAGGAAAGAAAATGAGAAGGAGATAGTCAAAAATTCTCCACGGTCCCTCTCTCTCATTATTGTCGACCACATTTGAATACTTATTTGCATATACGGATCATGTAATCTTTATGTCTTTCGATTTCACCTTTGGGTAAACTTTAGTCACTGTCTTACTTTCTTACTCTTTTATTTTTTTACTTATCCAGTAGGTAAATTATTACATAATTTATCCGAAGATGGAACAACCGGCTGTAAATTTTTTTCAGGAATGTAATGAAAAAATTAAAAAATGTATTTTAGGTCTTTGTTGTACATACATTGAAATATAAAAAAATATTTTTTTATAGTGATTTTGTTACAAAATGATGGCGCTACAACTCTGCAATGATAACAGCTTCTCATGTTCTGTGGCTGCAACGATAATTCCGGAACTTTTTAACCTAGAACAAACCAAAATTTTTTTTAACGTACATTCCAAAAGCTAAAGAAAGACATACGGAAATTGCAATATACCGTTTTTTTTTCTCAAAAAATGGTACGAATTTGAAGTAAATGTTAAATTTAAAGGGTAAAAAATAGGTGAAAAATTGTTTATATAAAAAAGTATGCAACATAAAAAAATCGGTACGTCTTTTTCTAGAGAATGCAATTTTGAAGTTATAATTAAAATTTCAAGTAAATTTGTGGGAGTTATGTTTCCAGCCAGTTTACAAAATGTGGTTTTGAGAAAAACGCGTTTTAAAGTTTTATGTAACAATCAGCGATAGAAATGTTTACCTTTAATTTGCAGTGCCTGCATCATACAATAGGCCTTCCTCATTGATGTTCTTTTCTTCCTGATTCTTGGCCAATTTTAGAAATGATTGAGTCGCACGTAACTAATTCCTTTATTATTTTCAGAAGGACCCCTTCGCAAAAGCTACAAATCTTACCGAAAAGTACGACGCTTTAAACTTCTAAAAGTAACATTTAGAAATTTTTTTTCACTATAAGACTTTTGTACCTTATTTCTAAGATCTTAAAGCATCATTTAAGCAAAAAAAGAAAAATGATTTTTTTGAAAATTCTAGAGTGGCTTTACCTATCCCTTAAGCATTAAGTTTCGCTCTTACAAGTAGCTGAAAGATAAAATAGTTAATGTGTTCATGTATGTACAAATAGACATTTAAATCTCTCTTTTTTTATCTTTCTTTATTAATGCAGCCAGCAATTCTACTGAATTCCCAGAGATTTTATGAAATTACCAAATTAAGCGTTCGTGAAACGTTGAATCAACGACAGTCTTTGAAATATATTTAAGTATCAAAAGACCAAGGGATTAAGTGTATAGAGTCATTTAGATACGTGTTCATATTCCAGTCGACCCATTAATTTTTCCATCCTTCACAGATATATTCCTGGGGTTGTAATAATTACGGCCAAGTAGGGAATGGATCATATGATCAAGTTGTCACACCTACTTTAATAAACATACCTAATCTAAATAATTTGGATGGGAAGCGTGTCGTAGATATTGCATGCGGAAGTTATCATTCCATTGCTTTGACCGAGTCTGGTGAGGTAAACAAAATCATAATATTGGCAATAACTTTGCATTATTATGAACTAAATAGCTGATTTGATTTAGGTATATGCTTGGGGAATAAATGATTATAGAATAATAAAGAAGGATAGTCTTGTTGATATCAACATGAATCAGACTACAACGAATACACCTAAGCTAGTTAACATCACCTTTAATGGAGAGAAGATTGTCAACATTTCCTGTGGTATGACCTTCACCTTGGCAGTCACTGAAAAAGGTGAGGTATATAGTTGGGGTGAAAATGATGTTGGTCAGCTGGGAATAGGGCATTACGAAGATACAACGATACCAACGCTAATCAGTTCACTGAGAGGCACTGTGATAGGTAATTCCCATCTTAATAAAATGATAAAAAGAGTAGAGGAAGACAAAGCGAAACAAAATCATTGAATCAATATTGTTTCAGTCAAAGTGGCTTGTGGAAACCAGCACACATTGGCGCTCACGGACAAAGGGAACCTATACGTTTGGGGTGGGAATCATTATGGCCAGTTAGGGATCGGCAACCAGAGAGACTCTTATGAACCAGTTTTAGTAAATTTATGCTTATTGTCATATTATATTATACATGAAATAACGGAAGAAAAAGAAAACTGAAGATTTTCATGATGAATTATTATATCATCAGGTCAAGCATCGAATGGGAAGGGTGTCCGACATTACTGCTGTACACAGTAGATCCATAAGTATCGCAGTTGACGAAGGAGGACGTATCTATGTGTGGGGTTATTGGCACGGTATGAGCGTTTTGATTCCATCCGCTACTCCGTCTTCGAATATACACAACGCGATTGCATCTTACGGGTCCCCAAGCATTATGCACAAACCACTGATTCTACGTGAAGATGAAGAGCCGAGTATATTGAAACATTTGGAAACTGCATTCGATGATTCCGTATGTTTCATTCTTTGTACCTACTTGTTTGTTTCACTTGCACTTTTCTACATTTCTGAAATGTACATTGAAATAAATGGTTTCTTTCAGAAGACGAAAGATGCTCAGTGAACAATCGGTGATTCTTTAACACGATTTATTTTGTATAAACGAATCGTAATGAAGAATCGCTGAGCGATTTGTCTTTTGAATATAGTTAATGTACAATATTAAGGTGAGAAAAGTGCATCTGACATAACTAGACTTACAAATATCTTTATAATTAGGCATATGTAGTTTTTATTAATATTTATACACGGTGACTCATTTAATCTTAACAGATAAATAATTTGGAAAATACAATTTTTTCGAAAAACATTCCAAATAAAATTACAATAAATCAAATATATTAACCAAATAAAAGTTATAGAGCGATATATACATATAGTGGTGATTTTGATTTGATCTCAAAACATCTATGTAACATCAGATGAAGGTCTATTCTCATTTGTTCTAATTTTTTCAACTCCGAATCTGTATTTCGTATTATAATTTTAGATTGAGCGAATCTTAGTGAACATTTGTGATTAATAATTTTTTGTTAAATTGATATTTTTCGAGATATTTGTACTAAAAGATTGAACTGTACAATCACTGTTGATTGCGTAAACTGATTTTGGTGCTATCCAGACTCAATAACGAGGTCATGGCGATAATTCGATCCCATTACGGTTACGTTCGGAAATATCACCCGAGTACCTCCGTTTATCGTTTTATTTATGTTTAACATAGAATGAACAACAAGGATAAAATGATACTCGAGGAAACCTAGGTAATATTTCCAAACACAGCCTAAGTGTGCTTAACAGTCATCTGTTAAGATTAAAATATAACAAATCACCATGTATATGTATTAGTCTTTCCATCATGGTGAATAAGATTTATTATTCTTTATTTAATCTTGTTTTAAGTACAGCATTTTTAAAAGGAATTGTATCTTTTAAAAATCTATATTTATAGAAAAATATTGAAGCTGATGGTGAGCTCTTTGATTTTTATGAGATACGTTTTATTTTCGATTTTAATTGAAGAATGCAACTTTCGAGTTAATGATTTTTTTTTTATTTATTTTACTTAGTCCACGAGCGATTTTAAGATACAAGTGTACGATCGATGTATTCATGTACACAAGGCTATCTTGAGGATTCGTTCTTCATATTTTAGAGCCATGTTTCAGCACGAATGGTTGGAAAATAATCAGAAGTAATTATTTAACAAAGAATCAGTGTTTGTTAAAGACTTACCAAGTTTTCTCATTTTGTCAACATTCTTCTTTCCCAATAGTGTCCTCAAGCATAATCAATTTTCTGATGTCGTCTACGAAGCCTTTCTGAAGTACTTGTATACCGACGTGGTCAATTTACCTTGGGAACAGGCGTTAGGTGAGTTAAGTACACCATAAGTTGTTATCGACCTGAATATGATTGAAGTAATGTTTTTCATTACAGAACTTTTAATCCTGGCTGATGTTTACTGCGAGAGCAGTCTTAAAAAGCACTGTATTCAAATAATAAAGCGAAAAATTACTGTTTCGAATGTCGCCTACTTATATAGCATTGCAATCGAACGCAGCGATAAGGTAGCCAAACACTATCGTTATTAATGCTTATTAACATTTTAATAATTTCAGTATCTGATTTATTTACACGCATGCAATAATTGAATGTCATTGGCAATATTTTAGGAGCTAGAGAAATTCTGCTTTAATTTTGCCATAAATCACTTAACAGCTGTGGTGCAAACAGAAAGTTTTGCCAAACTGGATGAGAATACGTTAAGAACTTTCATAATTAAGGCAGTCAAAGCTGGTGCCTTAGGATGTAATTAGTAATATTAGTACAATATATATTTGCTTCAAAAGAACAATACACCTCAATGGAAATGAATGTTAATGGCTGGATATGTCTGTTGCACGAATACTTGCTGTACATTTTACAGTATAATCGCGTATCCTGGTGGAATATTTCTGTAATTTGTCTTCTTAATTGCATTTCATTATTAATATTTTATGTGACAAATGGATGACTTTATTCACGCGAACTATCTCGCTCGTTCTAATAAATTCACGCGAGAAAAATCCTTCATGGATTTTGTTAAATCTTGTCATCCTGCAATAATCTGAGATAATTTTAGAATTCATGTATAAACAAAGAAAGAAACTGCCATTTGTTGAGAAACTTTCACGATGTCATTATATAAGACTGATAGCAAAGAGAGAAATAAATTTTACACCATTTGGAAGTTCCTATTTTGCATTTAATTAGAAAAGTACCTTTACTAATCATTTTTTTTATTTTATGCATAGAACAACGAAATAATTAATTAATACATTTTTTTTACTTTCTTTAAATTAGCTGATTTATTTTGGCATTTTTTATATAAGTAAAAGTACCATTATAAAAAAAAAATAAACAGTTTAGCAAATATATTTTTCCAATTTAATTAAATCAAAAATAATAACTTTTAAATGGTAACTTTTACATCAAAATCTATTTTTATGATTTTGCTCATGGAAACTTTAGATCAGCACCTCGTGATCTACAAAATATTAGTTTTAGCCAATTTAACCGAATCTTTTTCCATCGAGTCCTTTACATTAGGTATATCTCTATGAGATAGAAAGAATGTGAAAATACAAAACTTTTAAATATATATGCGTGTAATAATATACAATTATAATAAATATTTTTTGCATTTTCTGATAATTGGTGCTCTCAATTCCAGAAAAATCTCGATTAAGAAACATTTTGTACAATTGTTTACCATTTTACTACAATTTTATTACAATTGTTTTACAATTTTATTACAATTTAAAAACTTGATGTTTTCTAATATGAATAAAATAATCTATTATAATAGATTATTTTACAAAATAATAGGAACAAAAATAAAAGATTCTCGGAGTTCACATCAAGTTTTGGAACACATTCTTGGGAATCTGAACATGCAACAGGTGCAAATTGATGGAGATCTAATAATAATTCACTGAGAAAATTATATATAAGTACAACACTGAGTGCAATTGAATGCAAATCAATTTATATATTTTCAGTGTTTTCGGTTAAATAATTTAACCATTTTAGATATTCTTTGTTATCACGATAACCTTATAACGTTAAAAGAATTAAATTAATTGTTAACACTGAAAATATGTAAATTAAGTTGTATTCAATTGCACTTAATGTGCACCAGTGTTGTACTAGTTTTCCCAACCAAGTAGACCCAGCAATCCAGCATGCCTCTGTCAGCCTCTGTGATAGAAGCGAAGCCAATAGAACGGTGAGAGATGCAAAACATCGGTGAATCTCTATCCTCACACTCGCGCATATTTAACTATAATAGAGAAGAATAAAGATATTTCACCGTTGTTTTGCCTCTAGCCATCTAGTGACGAAGTTTAGTCAAGTGTAGTCCAACAGTCTTGAGCAGTCTTGAGGGATCGTTTGAGTGAGACTGGTGAAGTGGTGAGACAGTCCCGTTTCGTCTTGAGTGTTGTATCATCGTTTTGGGAGGCGTGCCGCCTTCGACTATGCTTAGCAAGCTTGGCCAAGTTTACCTCGTCATCGAGAATCCGGACCATTTATACTAAAAGAAGAAGCGACAAAGCGCAGCCCGCGGCAATTTCAAAAATATAAGGGAATTCAATGTGGACACTCTCAGTTCTCAACTTCTCAGTTATAGAAGAGAAGGTTGTAAACTGTTTGAATTCTCTCTCGGAAAAAACGAAGTATACGTAAAGAAACGATCCTGTAAGGCGATATGTGTACCTCAAACCTACGTAACTGGCCGATTCTCAGTTCACTGAAGACTGACATCGTCTCGCAAATTCACATGGTTATGATTTACGGTAAGCTCTCTTCGATCTCATTTACCTTGACAGTATTGTTTACCTCACGTTTTGAACAGGTGAATTGGGTAATGAGGTCTTATTCGTGACGAAGGATAAGATGGTATATGCGTTAGGCAATAACGAAAGCGGTTGTTTGGGGACTGGGGACAATAGGAATGGTTACTTATATCCTGCGAAGATCAAGGCTCTGTGCGAGAAAGATATAAAGACGTTTGCATGTGGTAGCGGACCTAATGTTCTAGCACTGACAAAAGATGGAAAGGTATGCTAAAGTTACAAATGAATTTTGGATTGATGTCTGTAAATAGTTTTCTTCTCTGGAATATACATATATATTTTTTTTCTATGATATATATATATATATATTATATAT